TTTTTTGGGGGGGGGGAGAAGGGGGGGTTAGTTTCTCTCTGCAGTTTTACTAAATAGCCATGACCCAGTCCACTATGGGAGCCAATGTTACAATCAGGATGATTTAAGACTTAAAAAATAGCTGCACTTTTGGTGAGGAGAGAGAAGACAATTGTTCAGATAATATCAAATTGAGTAATTCTTTAAATTTCAGATGTTAAAAAGGTGTCTGTTTTAGCATTAGTCCTTGCAACATTAGTGAAAGTTTGATCAGTGTTCCCTACATTCTTCTCTTGCCTGGAGTAACATTATAAGCAGAACACTACTGTAGTTCAAAAAGCCTATAGCAAAGCATCACCTATGAGTTGCATAATAAAGTAAAATAAGTTCTCTTTACAGATTGAAGACGGTTTACTTTCTTTTTTAACTTAGCACATTTCACCTCATATCCGTAGCTCAGTGAAATGCCAAAACTTCTAAGCAAGGCAGTTAACAAACAGTAAAAACGTTGCTATTAGTTGTTCATCTGTAACATTCATTACAAAAGTTCCGTGGATTACTCTACCAAAATAACCACCAAAACCACACAGCCTCTGAAACTGGGAGCAATGAATGGTGTTAGCACAATATGAAGTGGACTACAAATAAAAAATACTGTACACTCCCCCCAACTTTGGTACCAATTAAATGGATACAAGTGAACAGATTTTAATCTTCACATCTTAATTTTCTCTTCCCCTTTATTCATTCCTTTCTTCCTGCATTCTCATTTTCCACATTAACATTACATACTTTATACATGATTTTCCTACTACAGGTAAACTTGAACCATATCTTTTACTTACCTGGATATCTATCATTAGATTATTTAACTGTTTAGTTGTAAACTTACAAGAATTTTAGTCACATGGAAAACACTAACTCTTTATTTTACTCAGTTTATAAAATAGACAAACACTGGAAGCAAAAAATACTTGTCTACATTAAGTCCCTTTTTTTGACTTACCACTCCACACATATATAGCGGTTTATATTCTCTAAGTGCTGTGTGTTAGGACTAGTTCACAAGTTAATCTCCCTTTCAGTTTCTCTACTGCTCTGGAGAGGGTGTAGAGACTGTGCTGGGTCTATGTTTGGTGCAGCACATGGCTGCTGATGTGCCAGCACACTATGCTGAAGCCTGGCAGGCACATTAGGAGGGATGGAGTCAAGCTACATCCATTCTTCTCCCATTCCCACCTACTTGGAGGATTGGGGGAGGAGGACAACAATTCATAGCAAGCTCTGCAGAACCTGTTTCCCCTCCCTCTCTTTATGCTGTGATATGGGTAGCCAGCACAAGGCAGTGAGGCATAAAACACCCCCTTCACTAATTTGTGTAATCATGAGTGCTGGACCATAATCTGGGCTTTAGCTAATTAAGTTGTTACAGCAACTCAAAGACACTTTCACAGCAGATTGAATTTGTCAGATGCATATTTACTTTAAGCCTACTGAATTATGATCTGGTTCATCTTCCCCACCCCCAGATCCGAACGGAAGGGACCCATTGTGAAAGGCATTTGCAACTCACCATAAGACACGCCCTGGAGATCACAAACGTCCAGTTGTGCCCACCGACTGAATACAAAGGAAGAATCGCTGTTCACTCGACAGATGTAAAACCCAGAATCATTTACACTCACTGGGTTAAAAATCAACTCTGGGGAATTCCCATGTGGAACCTGTGTTACATATGAGCCACAGAAAAACTTAACTGACTGGTGCTGGTTTGGAGTAAACATTAGAATATTTGTATCTAGCAAGGATTGTACTCCTGACTACTATCAGATTTTCTTAAAGCCTATTTCAAACTGTCAGAAGAGACAAATCTTGTCCTCAGCCTTTAACATCTTAAAGACAAAATACTGATTCAAGGGCAGATTGGTGTTGCTGCTATTAAATAAAGAGACATTAGAAATTTTCTTAGAGTGCACGTTGTTTCAGGAACTTCAATTCTGAATCTTTATCCTTCCACAAATAGATGGATGGGATTCCCAAAGCATTATCCCAGTCAGCACTCATGTTATATCAGTATTGTCATAAGCAGACATATCCAACTCTGAACTGGAAACTGTTAGAACTCTTTTTTGGGGGTGCAGCAAAAGACTATACATGAAAATAAATGTACCTTTACCAGATAAGAATCAAAACTGTACAGTAAATAGTGCATTGATTATACACATTTCAGTAACATGGAGACAATCTCTATCTGGATCAAACTAATTTAACATGTTGCTTAAGGCCTAAAAGTGATCTAACATTACATCTTAAAAATGGACTTTAATATCATTGCTAATATAAGGGTTCATCAATAGGCATTCCTCTTACAGGAAGATACGCCTGGATAAAAGGAGGGGAGGTGTTGGAGAAAAGCTGTGTTCCTTTTTAACTGGGAAATGCTATTCAGGCTATAGGAATATGGGGCGGATGCAGGAATTTAAAATTTGACCGCTTTTGGAAGGGCACATTAAGCACATGATGTTATGAAGAAAGACAGCACACTCTCACTATAACAAACCCCTGGGGATCCAAGCCATTTGACCATTATAGCCAGAGGTTCAGTATAGCAAAACAAAACAAAACAAAAAAAAAGGTGGGGGGGGCACAGCAGGGAGAGCAGAGCTCCTCCAGCAGGAGCTAATACCTCCTCCAGCCGCGGTGGTACTGGGGCCGGAAGAACTCCACTCTGTGACCCCACTGCGGTCCCGGGGCCGGAAGAACTCCGCTCTGTGACCCCGCTGCAGTCCCGGGGCCAGAGGAGCTCCGC